TCCTGCACATTGCTTTGTATTGCTCAGCTATGCAGAGCAATACAAAGCAATATGCTGACACAGCAAAAAACAGCACACAGTTAACCCTTTGATCACCCCAGATGTTGCGTAAGCGAAGTGTGTGTACTCATTAATGTTGTTAGGCCTGCAACGCAGATCCAACTAAATCTGGTCTGCATTCAAAGTGCTTGGAAGTGTAAATATCCTGAAGTTCCTATAATAGCAGTTAACTCTTTTGCATCAAACTGATTACTGTGTGACTTCACCAAAGGCATAATGTCTTATTTTATTCTAGAAATTAGTAAATATGCCAATAACACCCAGTGCAGCTTTTCAATCAGCTCACTAAGCGGTTGTGCCTGGGTGGCATCATTCTACTGGTTTTGCTGAGAAGTGCAAGGTAATAGTAATGCAGCATTTTGAGTACAAATCACAGTAGGATTAGATAAGAAACAAGAAGTATGCACATAATTGTGGCTTTGTTTAAAAGTGAACTATACACTAAAATAAAGTGAAACTTTAGCGTAATAAATTAAAAAGGAGACTTTTTTTTTTTTCTCAGAGGGTATTCTTATTTTTCAACCCAAATGGAATGTCCTATTTATCGCTAATACATTCATGTAAACAAACATTACACTTGTAGAATGGAAGATTAACCTTTTATGCATTGAAAATGAAAATTACATGTTAAAGTGCCAGAAATTGAGTGTGTGCAAAAGAAAATGAAACCTACACATATGGACTATAATTTGTTCCTAGGTGAGTCTTCCCTCAGGATGATACATTAAGCGAATGAGAACAGTTTGTTTTTCATCGAACATATACAACTAACTGACAGTGAATGTTGGGTTTGCTTCCCAAAAAGCTTACTGGGGCTATGCTGGCTTTATTTGTTAAAAGTACTTTTGTGTGGAGCAGAACAACTGGGTGACTGAGTTGTAATGGATACAGGAAATTCTAGACTCTACACAATGCCTCCAGGGCAGGCTGGCTCAGCTTCCCTGCTTTGTACCAAATGTTTGGCACTTAAGTCATTAAATGGCACTATCAAAAGCCTAATTCAAAAGGTGTTTTGCTTAATGACACATTCAATTTGATCAATTGGGATAAAACACCAATTTGCTCTTCTGTCTGATCAATGTCTCAACAGTCTGACTTTTAATAACTTTGTGTCTTATAACTGGCTTAGTATGATACAGAATATGCAATATTTCATCTCCACCCAGTACCTTTCAGCTACATACACAAAGATGTCTAAAGCTGGCATCAATGCTTGCTCCTGCAATAGTAGAAGGGCATTTATATAATGAGAGCTGAAATAAATACTGACCACAGCAGTTTACTTCTGCAGCAATAGGTCTACCCCTCCCTGCTCATTGTCTACCCACTTTATCTCAACAGGTTTGGCCTTGTACTTAAACTACAGCTTAATTCTGATATTGTTGTTTAAACATCAAAAAAGGTGAATTGCTTAGGACAGTTAGGTTGTGAACAGAGTAAGTGCACCACAATATTTAGGGCTTGTAGATGGATGCAGCATGCATTTACTATGTGTTCTGGGATACAGTTAGGCATAGGAGAATGCACAGCAAACTGATAGAGTTCAGAGCTGTTCCACAGTATTATTATATCTGCCTAAATGAAACCCTATTTTAACAAGAACCTGTCCTAAGTTCTTAGACTTTCTTGAGGACAGGGCTCAAGTTTTCACACTTCTTCAGAAACTTCACTATAGAAGCTTTCTGGAGAAGCAGAACACTACATCAAATCCTACCAACTGGCCCATGGATTTGTCATTTTCAAGTGTAATGTATTCAATACCCGGATAATCTCAACACCATTTTCTATGCAACATTTGGGTTAAGAAAAGTATGAACACCCATTAACTGTCTAATACATATCAGCCCATCAATACAGACAAACATACATACAGCATTTCCACCATGCCCTGAGGTTTAGAAAATCCGGTACTGCCACTTAAGTGGACATCACCTGTTCCCCCCACATTCCAATATCAGAAAGGTTTTCAATGTGGAAAAATAAAGCCAAAGACCCGTTATGCATAATCCTTTAGAGGCTTTGTGTCATAAAAAAAATGAAATCACATTTGTTACAGCACAGAAGCAACCCTTAATCCCAATGCTACAAGATATCTGGCACACTCGCCGGACACATTTTGGTGGCAAGTAAATATGGTTACAAGTCTGCTCAGAAGATACTGAAGCCAGACCAATTCAAATGTTCTGACAAGGGCCAAATACCTGGGGATTAAAGAATGGTTCTTATATTTGTGCTCATACAGCATACTTGTAAAAGAAAATATTCTCTTTACTGCAGGGAGACTAACTTTGCTTTCCTTTGGGAGTGTTTTTATATACATTATCAAGAAACAGATCTAGAAACTTAATGATTGTAGTTGCTTGGAAGGTAAAATGATACAGTTTTAACCTGTATAAGTTAAAGGGGGTGTAAACCCATACATACACACAGTGAAGGGACTGGCCTCTGCTGATACACAGAGGTGAAACACCCCAGAGAGCTGAGGCTGTCAATCTGCTGGTGCTCCCTCCCTTGTCACCTTTTTCTCTTGGTGTCAGGAAAACCTGTCAGAAATGATTCGTATGGACAGCAAAGGAAGGAAGCAACAAACAAAAATGACACTTCGTGCTCTGGGTAGAGACAAGTACACACTATAGAGGGATATGCTTTGTAAAACACAAACACGAAATATGAACAACTACTTTAACACTTTTAGATTATGATGGAAACGGCTCTACTTTGTTTTTTTTTTGTTTGTCCAGAAATAATTTAGCTCTTGTAAAGAAACAATCACTAAATGCATACATAAACGTGGTTAGCAGTAGAAAGTTACTAGAAAGCAGTAAAAAAGCTGTAGAGGTCTTGTCCACTGGTAGTCAACTGCTTTAAGAAGGAATAAAAGATTACCTACTTAACTAGAAGTATTATAAAATGTACTCAGCCTAAACTGAGTGTGCATGTTACCATGGAGGTTCTAAGAGGTTAGATTGAGGGACAGACATTAACTGTTACATTTCTTTAGCTGATAGTAGTTAGTCAGAGTTGGACTTGTTCTGTGATGCTGAAAATATTTCACCACTTATCCAAGTGGCTTCTTAAATTCTAATGAGTATGGGGATGAGACCCCAGCATTTATAGCAGTCCACATAACTCAGGCACTTTAATCCAATCATCATGGTCATCATCATGTTCTTGTACAATCACCATTTACCCTGACAATTTCCATGACATCACTGTGATTTAGATTTAGGTGACTATAAATGCTGGTGTATGTTCCTAACACTTGTTAGATTTGATTATTTCATTTTGAAGCATTAAACATTACAGAACATGCCCAGCTGAATGTGACTAACTACTATTAGCTATACAAAACTTTGGATAAATGAAAACCCCCATAGACATTTTTACAACTGCAATCACTCAGGTGATAAGGCATGTCAAAAAGAACCCGCTTCCCGACTCTATCACATGCAATACAGTGGGAAATTCAGTTTCCCTTCATCTCTAGTACAGTTTCAAATCATTGTTGTAGCAGACTTTTGATAGCAATGGATGCTTGTATCCATCAAGTCCATGGTAACATGCACAGAACAAGGCTTTCTTTCAGTTTTATATTAAAGCTAAAAACTTTGAGCTAATGTAACTACTGGATAGTAGGCACCTTAAAGTACCAGCTCATTTATGTCCTTTAAAAATCTCCCTCTGACACTGGCAGTGGAATCACCACAAACCTTCAATGTTTTAGTGTGTGTTCATGCCACAATACAGAAAGAAACCAAAACAGACGTTTCCAGCATTGTCTGAAACAAAATAATGGGTATGGGCCACCCACAATACTCAAGTGTTCCAAGCAACTTCAAACAAAAGTAATTGAAACCTGTTTTGCGTCTTGGTACTGTTTCTCACCGATTTCAGAAGCAGGAAAACTATAACTTAAAAATAGTGACTTACAACCTGATAAACACTCTTATAAAGATGTAACCAGTAATGCACACAGTCCTATGGTTCTTTTGTTTGTATTCTTTCACCGATATAATGAAAATTGGGATACTGCACACAGTACATGCAATTTCAGATATCATAAAGCTCTATTAAGGCAACCCTGGCTCTTCAGGTGCAATAAAACTTCAAAATCCATGGCCTGCAAAGCATGCTAGGATTATTAGCTTCAAGGCAGCTGGAGGTCCATGGGTAGAAAGCCTGTTTCAGCATGTAAACTCTTACAATATTAATACTGCAAATATTTGGCTATAGTTTCCCTTTAACTTCTATTCTAGCATAAAAGGGTTTGCAAGTCCCTGCCTCCCTGCCAAAAAGAAAAATACAAAAGAAAAAAAAAAACTGAAAAATAAAATGACATTTCGCCATGCTCTCCCATGCGATAACTGAATTTGGTGACATTTTGTTTCTTCTGATTAGAATATTCTGCTTCTTGTGTTCTTAAAAAAAAAAAAAAAAAAAAAGTCTACTTCTCCACAAAAGTAAAATGCAAAAGTGTGCGTGGATAAAAATAAAAGTGGTGTGGCAATTTGGCATTACGTTCCTAGTGGAAGATATGTGATGTTTCCTTCTTTGTCCAAACAGACCTCTGCTTGCTCTGTGGTCTCCTGCTTGGCTGTATTAGAAGGTGCAGCCCTCCTGGTGCTAGTGTCTTTTTGTGGTAGCGTCCTATCCGCTGTTAATTTCAGGTTATCGAAGTTCAAGACTTTTTTCTGCTTGGTTAGAGTGTTCTTGGATGGGAGTTCCAAGCGATCGAGTTTGCTAGAGACAATCCTGCATGTATCTACAGGAGAGGGTTGGTCAGCCTCATCACTTCCCACAGCTGATTCATCTGTAACTTGGGTCTTTGAGTCACTGTTCTCCTCATCAACAGGACTTTCTGTATCATCCTGCTCTGTGTCAGACTCCTCTTCCTCCTCCAGTGTCAACTCAAACTGGAATTTGTCTCCAGCCGTGCTCCCCCTGTCTGGGTCTTGCTCATCTGGTGGAGGGGATGGACTCTGAGGGATCATGCTATGATACCACTCTCTGTTATCTTCTAATGTATCCAGAATTTCTTGAGCATCAGGATGCACTAAATCAGCCCAAGTCTCCCACAGAGGATGCACAATGTAATCAATGAAACCCACCTATACAAAAAGAGAGAAACATTTTCAGCATGCAGCATAATGCAACTCTGTAATCATTAGTACATCCTTAACTGGAGTTTAAATGCAAGCAGTGTAATTACTAGAATATGACTTGGCATCAGATTCTTGTAATTCATATACAGCAGAACTCTGAGGGAGGAGGAAGCAGTACAAGCAGCAAATCAGTTGTGTTTAAATCCAAAGACCATGCTGATAGGAGGAAACAAAGCGTGACAGACAAACGAGTCATCAGTCTGCTGCTTCTTTTCACTGTCCAGTTAGGAGTGTGGGTGGCTAGGAAGACCAGTAAGGGAGGCTTCAAGCTGCCTTTTGCCAAGTGTAGCTAACCAGTGGTTTTCATGTGGGATAGCTGCACTTTCCTATAGACTTCTATGAGATTCTGCAGTTTTGGTGCAGTTTCAAAAAGCGCACCAAAACTCCTGCATGCTGCATCTTTGGTCCACTTTCTGAAACCGCACCGAACTGCTTGCTAACCTGCACAAAACCCGCAGGTCAACTACGCTTTGCCCAAAGCACAGCAGGGCCACCGAACAGGCCAGTGTGAAGCCGCCCCAAGTGTTACTGAACTGCAGCAGAAAAAAATTAGGTCTACTCCCCTGCCTGGCATTCCTGTGCTGTGTAAATCTAAGAGTATGCAAATCAGGTGTTCACACTTGCTTCAGTTTTTAGTGGGTAAAAATAGAATGGTAATCTCGCCATATGTTCGTTTTAACGTAGAATTACTAAAAAAAGAATTTGTATTACTGCCTACTTTTCGAAGTGTCTTTCCAGTTGCTGTATGTAGATGTGTACCAGATATTGTACAGCTTCTGAAACAGGACCCTACCCTAGGACTACTGCTTTGACTTGTTTTAGCTGCCAATCCTATGGGCTTTTCTCTGTGTACAGCAAGACATATAGCCCTCTTTAAAGGGGTCCCTGTGTTGTGCTGCAAAGATGTAGCGTCTCCCAGTCCTGCTTTTCATTTTTGTGATATCACTTTTCCCGGCTTTCAATCCCTTCCACTAGCAGGCAGAATAAGGCCTAGACAAAGATAGTGTGTGGCAGTTTAAAGAGAATCTGTCCATTCATAAAAAAAATGAAAGGTTCTCTTAAAAGGTCATTCCCTGATACATTTGCCATGCTTATCTAATGCTCTGTTTGTCTTCTGGAGCAAGCGTACCCAATGCTTCCAGGTATGTGGGGTCCTGGGGACTTTCTCAGCTTTTTTAAAAGATGCTGTGTTTTAAAAGATGTATTTTTTTTTTACAAAATATGTACAGTTGTGTTCAAAATAATAGCAGTTAGACATCACTAACCTGATCAATCACTGTTTTTGGTAGAAATGATATTTCTACATGGCAAATAATTTACTAGCAGGTGTAGTAGAGTAATAGAAATCCAACAGACCCAACAGTCGTGACATGCATGATGCTGCTTCTGTGTAATTGAATCACTAATTGAAAGGGGCATGTTCAAAATAATAGCAGTGTGGAGTTCGATTAGTGAGGTCATTCATTCTTTGAAAAACAGGTGGCAATTATTGCCCTTATTTAAGGAAGGAAGGCAGCAAATGTTGTACATGCTGGTTACAGTGCATTTCTCTCTGAAATTCTGAGGAAAATGGGTCGTTCCAGACATTGTTCAGAAGAACAGCATACCTTGATTAAAAAGTTGATTGGAGAGGGGAAAACATATAAAGAAGTGCAGAAAATGATAGGCTGCTCAGCTAAAATGATTGCAAATGCTTTAAAATGGCAACCAAAACCTGAAAGACGTGGAAGAAAGCAAAAAACTACCATTCGAATGGATAGAAGAATAGCCAAAATGGCAAGGACTCCGCCAACAATCAGCTCCAGGAAGATCAAAGAAGGTCTAAAGTTACCTGTGGGTACTGTTACAATTAGAAGACGCCTATGTGAAGCCAAGCTATCTGCGAGAAGCCCCCGCAAAGTCCCACTGTTGAAAAAAAGACGTGCTGAAGAGGTTACAATTTGCCAAAGAGCACATTGACTGGCCTAAAGAGAAATGGCGCAACATTTTGTGGACTGATGAAAGTAAGATTGTTTTTTTTGGGTCTAGTGGCCGGAAACAGTTTGTCAGACGACCACCAAACACTGAATTCAAGCCACAGTACACTGTGAAGACAGTGAAGCATGGTTGCACAAGCATCATGATATGGGGATGTTTCTCATACTACAGTGTTGGGCCTATTTATCACATACCAGGGATCATGGATCAGTTTGAATACATCAGAATACTTGAAGAGGTCATGCTGCCTTATGGTGAAGAGGAAATGCCCTTGAAATGGGTGTTCCAACAAGACAACGACCCCAAACACACCAGTAAACGTGCAACATCTTGGTTCCAGACCAACAAGATTGACATTATGGAGTGGCCAACCCAATCCCCGGATCTTAATCCAATAGAAAACTTGTGGGGTGACATCAAAAATACAGTTTCTGAGGCAAAACCAAGAAATAGTGAAGAATTGTGGAATGTAGTCCAATCATCCTGGTTCACAGGTGCCAGAAGTTGGTTGACTCCATGCAACACGGATGTACAGCAGTTCTCAGAAACAGTGGTTATACAACTAAATATTAAGTGATTCAAAGGAAAGCAAAATCTTCAAACATTTTTCAGTTTATATAATGAATGTTTGAGTTTGTAAAGAAGAATACAAACACTGCTATTTTTTTGAACAGTCTAATATTCACTTTGCTTCAATTTTTTTAGAGGTACAACACAAATTTGATATATTTTTCTTCATGTTTTGATTTGGAATAGAATGTGCAGTGTTCCAATGCATTTGTGTGTATGGAAATAAAAGCTATTAGAAGGATTTTGAGCTTTATTCACTTTTTTCAACACACACTGCTATTATTTTGAACACAACTGTATATACCCACATGGGAGGAGAAGGCCTATATTTGTTTATTTTTTTCTTTTATTTGCAAATTATTTCTAAATATATATCACAAAACATTAATATATTTATACCATCAACAAGCTACACAAAAATGGCACACTATACAAAATAGCTCTAATATACAAAAGAAAGAGAACAATAAACAGAAAATCTACAATTACATATCATAAAACATATAAGATCGCCAATAAATAACATCAAAAATTAGTTTGAATGACCCATATGTTTTCTACATATTGCCAACCAGTCTCTTTTTTTTTTATCCTCAAAAAAAAGATACAAAGACTAACAAAATACATTCCCTTAAACAATCCTACAAAACAAATAGCGAACAATTTCTGCTATATAAGCTATAACTAGCTCAAATAATACAGCCCATAGATGTCAGAGTATTGAGCAAGTACAGGGACTAAGTTTTGAAAAACTTATTCATAAGGGACTTCTGATGCTTTACAAGCCTCCTTTTTTTTTTTTTTTTTTTTCCAAAAAGCATACCTTTATGCAAATGTTTATGCTATATCTGCCAGAGTAGGGAGAATGGGAGTAATCCAGTTTAATAGAAATTTTTTAGTTACCAGAAAAACAAGATGTTCTATTTAAAGAAGGGGTCATCCTTTCTGCATAATGAATAACTTGAAATAATATCAAGGAAGGAGAGCATACTTGTCCTGTTAGTTGGGTCAGATAACTCAATGTCTGACCGCACCAGGTGGATCTGTGGGCATTACCATAATGATATACCTCAGGTGTATTGTGCTGGCATTTTGAGAATTTAGTAAGATAGTTATTAGGCATACTAATTCCCTAATAGGCCCTATGTTTTAACTGCATTTTCCACCAATTTCCATTAGGGATGACTTTTTGAATAGAAGCCCATCCCCTTAACAATACATCCTCCATCTCCTCCCTTGTTACCTCATATCCCCAGCCCATTTCACACTTAATTTAGGAGATTGATTTTGGGTCTTTTGATGTATCAAAGAATTGTAAAAAACAAAGATTTTTTTCTAGGCAATGGGAGTTGGGCACAATGCTAGCATAGGGGAAAATGTTGCTTGTTCCTCAGTCTGAACATACGTTTCTTAGTCTGCATTTGCATATAAAAAAAAAAATAACTGGATACCTGGATGGAAGATCATATTTCATCTAGATAACAGCAAAGAGTCCTAATATATCACCAGTATCTAATAAATCTTCAAAGGTTCTTAGCCCTGGTTCACACCAGTGCGACTTGTCATGCGATTTGACCGTTTCAAACCGCATGACAAGTCGCAACCTATTGTCCGCAATGGAATCGGTCAAATCAGTGCAAATCCACTGGAGTCACACCGATTTTGAAAGTAGTTCCTGCATTAATTTTTGCAATTTCAGGTGTGCCTTGCATAGCCATCTGTGCATGAAGTTGCACTAACATGCAACTTCATTTGACGTCGCACAATTTCAAAGTTGGATCCAGTGTGAACCAGGCCTCTGTCCATAGGGTAAATAATTTATCTGAATTACCTGGTGGAAAAACCAGAATAGAATGAATGTAAAGTTTCCTAGTTTCACTCCAGAGTATTCTAAAGTAATATAATTGATTTAAACCTGAAAGATAATTGATGAAATGGCAAATGGAGAAGGTCACTTAACCATGAATAAGTTACCTGTTCTTCCATCTCCAAGCTAGCAAAATATTGTGTATTTCCCATCCCATCCAAAGTGAAGTAAACAAGTAAATATTGTACAGCCAAAGGACCAGGAAAGTTAAAACCCAACACAGATAGGGCCAAGTTAGATTTTCACCATAAAACGAATTCATGATAAAAACTATGTAAAAGCTCTAAGCATCTGCAAAGGACATAATCTTGGGAGACTGATTATTTTAAAAGAGAAGTAGGTTTGTTTTTTTTTTTTTTTTAAATCATACTGCATCTGTTTCCCGCACAGCTCTAAGGGTGACAACTGAGAGAACAGATACCACTGATTGCTCAGTTCTCCATGACGCTCTGAGCAGAGAGCGGTGACTGTCAGTCACCACTTTCTGCTCTGTCCCTCTAGCGCTCACTCAAAAACTGGCCTTTGGAGGGGG